GAGTGCCGCACATTTATTAAGTGTATTGTATTACGAGTCCTTTCCCCATTACAGCGCTGTACCACCAATTGCCTTCGACCAGACCAGCCTGACGTGGCTCATGATTGGTTAAATCCTACACTGCCATTCAGCTGAGAACAGTCAAACAGCAGCCTTTTGCATAGTGCTGCATATAAAACTGTCCTCACCGTTTCCCAGTAAATATTGCAAGCTTGGAATAAAATTAAGCGATCCAATCATTTACCTCCATTTCACCAAGGATTCCTCAAGCGGGACCTACAGTCACCATCAGTCTGAAATAAACCGCACGGTCCAGTCCACAGCCTCTCATATTTCAAACCTCTATATCTAGCTGTTTTATATAACTTTTGAATTAAAAATTCAATGGGTTTTTTTTAAAGAAACACAGCCTAGGGGGGATTGCTAGTTAGGTTACTTTTAATTTAGCAAACACTTCTAAATTTATCTGGTCGGCGTCTTCCTTAAGATTTATGGCTGCTTTTTATATTTGGATGCCACACCAATGGGATAAATTATAGGTGTAACAACAACTTGTTTTAAATAGGCTTCCCCTATGACTGGTGCTGTTCTGGGTGTACTGGGACCTATAAATCCAGGCTCCTGTGTTCCCTTTCAGTCTGACCTTATAGTGGTAAAGCAGCATTCCTGGAAAATGCATTTTAATTTTTAATATTATATGTAATATAGGAATATAGGGATAATATTATATGCAATATAGGGAATTTAATTTATAATATTATATATCATATAGGGATATGTGCTGATATGTGCTTATGCATATTGATATGAATATAAGTGTGAACAGAAACTCATCCGTGATCAAGGATGCCTAAAAATAGAGAGGGTGTTTGGCAAAGTCTGCAGATAGAACAGAAGAACCACTGTTGGTTTTATCATCTTGGCAAAAATAGAATCTGATATTTTTAACCAGAGAAGGTCATAATGGTAGGGAAATATCGCAAAATTTCTCTCCCTGTCATCTGCAAAAAAGATGACAAACTGATGATGATAAACTGAAAATAAAACACGGCCTTTTAGAATGACTTTAAAGCAGAGAAAAGATGCTGAAATTCCAGCAACAGGGTCAATGGGTTTATCTGCCTTAGGTTGTCATCATAGGCAGCATGACTCTACATGTTATGGAAAGTGCATTACAGGAGGAAGGCAGGAAGGGTTTCATCTGTAAAGTTAATATCTATATTACTCCTGCAAAATGCTAAGCTAATATGAAAAATCCATCCATACATACATACGTTCTCCATCCGATTGTTCATTTTAACAGCTTATTTTTTAAGGTTTACAGATCATTCAATTGCACATTCAGTGTTTATTCATTTTTCCCCTTGCATTGTTTGTTTGTATTTAAAATTGGGAGAAAATGAACTGAATTTGAAAAAACACTTCTTTACACAGTGTGTAGTTAGAGTATGGAATAATCTTCCTGTTCATGTAGTGCAGGTTAAAACCCTGGGCTCCTTTAAATCAGAGCTAGATAAGATTTTAACAACTCTGAGCTATTAGTTAAGTTCTCCCCAAATGAGTTTGATGGGCCGAATGACAATATAGGCCCACTTGACTTGACCTGACTTCTCCAGGACCGGGTCATGGGGGAGGTCTGGAGCCTGTCCCAGGCAGCAGAGGGGACAACACATGGGTACACTCTAGACAGGATGTCAGTTCGTCACAGGACCAATCAATATTCTATATCAGTGTTTCCCAATCCCATCCTCCCTCCCTCCTTCTCAGGGAGCAAAAATGTGGACTGTCTGACAGGGAGTTAAGAGGAAGCAAAAATGTGGATTGGCTGTGGGTCCCCAAGGACTGGATTGGGAAAGACTGTTCTATATAATACATAATAATTCAATCAACAACCTTAATACTATCCATCTTCCAGCCACTCCATCCTGGAGTCTGTCACAGGAGGCCCAGGGGAAAATGCAGGGGACAGCCTGGAGGGGGTGGAATCCCTGTGTATCAGTACCATGATAATCTCAGTACATATCACACAGCAGTACATCACCCAGTCAAAGGCTCGCTGTTACAGACAGAGCAAAGCGCAAACACACCTGGACCCAACAGCCATCTGATGCTCTCTCAGTTAGTAAGAATGAATCTGGTATTGTCTTGGACAGTGTTTCCAAATCCGATCCTCGGGGACCCACAGACAGTCCATGTTTTTGCTCCCTCCTAGCTCCCAGGGGGAGCAAAAATGTGGAATGTCTGGCAGGAGCTTGGAGGAAGCAAAAACCAGACCAGATTGGGAAACACTGGTCTAGGAAACAACAAGCGTGCTCTGACAGTCAGTACTGACTCCCTCCCCTGGTACAGTATGGCCATTGCTGCAAATATATTCTCAATATTTACATTTTCCTCAGTCGTTTTAGAGAATAGAGGTTCTTTTTCTGAAGACACAAGCGTCCTTAAAGTTGGCTAAAATGGGGGCTGGGCCGGCTCTCCGGTGGACACAACGCAACCCATCCCTCTCGGGGGCGACAAAGAAACACGACGGCGCTTTCATCCAGACAGCTGCCGCTTCGAGACGGCCACCTTCCGCCCGCATGGATTCCATGGTGGCTGGAAATTCATAAATCAGCCTATTGACCTTCACCCCTGCTTCTGACACAGCAGTACGATGTCATCAATCTGCGACAGCTCCCGCCTCTGAGCCGACGGCCGCCCCCGGTCCCGATTGATGGATCCGCACATTAGTTAGAGTGCCTTCCAAGGCATGTCAGCAATAAAGTGCAGCGCTGGAGGTAGAGCAGCACTGATGGAAGGTGACTGGCAAAGACAGGGAAGCCAAAAATCCCCAGGGGTCAAAGGTCAGAATAATACGGTAATGCAGGATCGATCCTGTCCATTCTGCTTAGGACACTCTCCTGTGAGCAAATGAAACATTACCTGTATAGAAAATATCACAGCCAGAAAAGCCTTTCAGGAAATATAACAATGTGCATTAATTCTTTTTGTCCAATATTAACTGACAAATGTTCAATATTCAGGTGCCTACAATGTTTATGAATATGAATATCACGCTTGTAAAAGAAAATGTCTAAAATAAATAGACATGAAATTCTGGCAGCTGAGCCAACGGAAGTACCCAAGTCCTCCTTACACTACTCATCTCAACATTTTAAATCCCACGCCTGACTACGCAAATGAAAAATGTTAAAAGTTATTTGGTTTCGGAAATACGAATTACGCACCATATCTTCTCGCTTTCAAACTGTGGGTGGTGAGGAAGGACCAACAATAACTGGCATGTTGGACTAAAATACATAAATAATTTGCAGAATAGATATATTTAGCTTTGCAAGCTGCGTATTCACAAATATCATGATAATAAAGTTTGCCCATGATTTCGTGTTGTTCGCCAGCGGAATTCCCGGAATTGCTGTGTACGAGAGAAGCCATAATATACTTAAAGACGTATTCTTCTTTTCAGGAAGCCCTGATGATCGTCATTAAGTGTCTTGGTGAATACGGCTGTATGCATTATAATTAGGAATTAAATGCAAACACTTGACATCCGACACTTTTTTTAGCGACGAAGGGAAGAAAGGGCGGCCAAGTTTAAGGAAATGAAGACAAATGTCAGCACATTGTTTTATCTTTGCTTCCTCACAAGGCAAGTTTCTCAGATTCCATCTGCGCTCGGACCTCCTGGATGCAAACAAATCTACCATTATTCCTCCCATGACAAAAAACGCAATCTCCTTTTATTAAACATAAAATAAACAATAACAACAGTATACGTCAATGGAAAACTAAAAACAAGAATCATAAAAAATAAAAAATTGCAAAGTGATCGTAATCTTTTGCAGTCCCAACTGATGAAGCGAAAAAGCATTTGTCGTTTCACAGAATGAAGGTCTGAGGTTTACTCTAAGTAAACGATGCGCATCGCGTATAGAAATTACACGCGATAAAATTACAGACGTTCTGTAACCTCTGAATTGGGACCAATTACATTTTAATGGGTAGTAGTAAAACATTAGGAGCTGGATTTCTACCGGCTGTCACGTTTGTTAATTCATCAGTTTGATTGCAAATGTTTCCAATGAATGTCAGTTCCTGTGAATATGGAAAACAAAAAACCAGCTGTCTTATGCCACGAGGTTAGTTTAAGGCTCAGAGAGGAACTTCCGTGACCCCAAGAGATCCATAAGAAGACTTGGGAAAGAAACCGAACCGGTCAATCTAGGGTTGTTAATGATGAAATGTTTGATCAAACTGCATCCCCAGAAAGACAAAAAAATACTATCTGCATGCCCCTTTCCTCCCTACTTAACTATTTACTTGATTTTAAAGAGAACAGATTTTGATTTTCTGCGATGATCACTCTATTCTGACATCATCATCATCGTCATTATTATTATTATTATTATTAAGCTAATATATAACGTCTACTTCCCGCAAAAAGTTGATTTCCTTTAAAACTTTCATATAAGAATAAGAATTTTAACTGCCATAAGAAACTTTATTATTCCAGGTTTTACTGTACATACTGCTGATGTAGACCTGTTGAACTAAAGTTTTTTCCCCGTTGTCGTCGTCAACAGCACTTCTAAATACAGCACCAGGTAAAAATTCTAAACGATAGGGTTATATATGAAAACCATATTTAATAGAACAGTGACACAAGCATTAGGTGAGGCTAAATAGTATCAAAGTAAGGAACGTTTAAAAAACGTCCGTAGACATATTAAATGCAGGATAGAGAGGACGTTTTAAAGACATGTATACGACTGTGAATATGCCGGATCTTCCCAGATTCACATTGTTTTTGGACTGTATTGGATATACCGAAAATCCACGCTAAACAGCAGCCGCACAGTCCATTGCAGACCGATTTCGGGAACTGCATAGCATTGTACTAGGATTTTACAGACAGGGAACCAGTTTTTAGATGCCTTATAATTATATGTGCAACTGCGATGTGCTTAAAAATACACTGTATTAATTAACGGACATCTTACCTTGGCCGTATGCCATCGGGGCACAAAGGATGAAGATGAAGAGGAGCGCATTCACACGGCAATCTCTTGTTGTGCACATGTCTTGGAGAGTACGCTCCTGAGCTCAGAGAATAATGTCCTTGCGTGCGTTCAACACTTTCCCTTAGAAAAGAGGAAAGAGAAAGCGAAAGATCGCCCCGGGGTGGCCACTCGCCGTGGGAGTCCGGTGGACGAAGGGCAGGTCCGCCCGTTTCGGAGCGGCGATGGGGTCCGCGAAGTGAGATCGGCGGAGAGCGGAGAATGCGCGTCGCTTCAGCGGCTCAGTCGGAGTGCGGGCTGCCCCCTTGAAGACAGCGAGCCGCCGCCGCCGTTTCAGCACCGCGGTCAGCTCCTAGCGTCAGCAAACGGAACAACTTCGGCTCCGTGGAAAGTTTGCACCGTACATAATCTAATACTGCCCTCGTTTAAATGGCCCAAGTATTACATTGGCTGTGTTTAATTTTTAACCGCCAGCCTTTACTATTTAATACGAGCTCGTTTTACTCGGAATGTGCGCGAATATTTGCAGTAAAAGAGCAGTTTTTTAAAAATCTTTTTTTCGCAGTCATTCATTAGAGCAGCTGTACTATTTTATACTTTAAAACCACATAGGCTAAAGATAAACAATTTCCGTGGTCTCCATGGCAATAAATAACATTTTCGCTAAAATATGTACCTCCTTTTCACCCAACTTATGTCATACATAGGCCTAGTAGAATTGTTGTCAGATAAAATAAGATAGAAAGCCCAGACCTCTTGGATCTTAAAAAGGTTTCTCAAAAATATATACCAAATACAAGACACTACAGATTCTTTAAAATAAAAGTGAACAAAACCGAAAACTTGTTTTATTATTTTAGTATAGGGGCTAGTAGCTGCGATATCTTACGAAGATAACACTAATATTAAAAAAAAAAAAAAATCTTGTCGCGGGTATTTTTGCAGTGTTTAAAAGGCACTTCCTCCTTAAGACAATCGTGTTAAGTATTCATAAAGTTGTCCGTAAAATAAAACTTTTACATTTAAAAATATATGTAGACTGAAATATTGCTTATATAAAATTGACAGCACTTTGGCCGTCTTCTGGAACGCGCTGTTTACATTCTGAAAACAGACCGATCTACAGATGAAAGAACATTTTAAGCACTGAAAGAGAGTTTTGGGAGAATTGTATAAATTATAGTAGAAAAGTTAAGTTCTGCCTTGGGAGTTAAGATATGTTAATGAATTTACATTTTCATAATGATCCTACGTTTTTGTCCCCCTCAAAACGCTGGTCTGTTATTTTGTCTCACCTCACCTTTGAGCCCAGCATATCACCTGGCACTTACAAACACCATTAATTAAACTTTCAAAAGTTCAGCTATGGAACTGACTTCACGTGACCCTCACAGTATGATGGAATTTAGTGCAGATGCTTCTGTTGATGTAAGGTGTTTGCTTTTCATATCTCTCACATGGAAAGGCTTCTCCTGAGTGCCTGTTGGGCAAAGCACAGCACCACTGGGTCAGCTGACCCAGAGTATGCCGAAGATTCAGGGATTTCAGGAGTCATGCAAGAATCCTAGTTGGGCCTCAAGTTTGGGATCTTACCGAACAAACACCAGCATGAGGACGACTAAACGAACAGGAAGGCACACATGTGGGGTGTTGGGAGAGATGAATGTCAGACAAAACTGACAAACAGGGGATTCTGCTTCGAGACTTGGACAAAAGAGTTCCTGACATGAGTGGAAATCTCACGCTCAAACTGGTTATATTCACATGACGTGTTTGGCCCACGCCAAGTCAAGAGAGAAGGTGCTACTTATGCTAGATCAGGATATAGCCATTTACTCTCACTGCTCGGCGAATAATTCCAAAACTGCCACCGCGGGGCCGCGTGGCATCGTTAAGCACCAGAATCACATCCATCCCTTAGCTCATAATCCTAAATTCCACCAACCTTTGGTTTCCGTGGATATTTCCTTGGCAACTGTGATTTATGCGCACTTCAAAATGTGTGGTATAAGTCATTTCCACATCTGACACTAATATATGTAAATTGAATATCTCGACCATCGCCGGAATGCCGTTCCTTTGTCCCGCTCGGTTGCAGGGCCACAAAGCTGCAGAGCCCTTGGTGTTAGAAGTGCCATGTGCTTCCGGTGGATCCTACAGCCAGATGAAAGAGCGCAGCAGGTCAGTGGCTGAGCCCACGCGCTCAGTCGTGTTATTATTTGACTAATAGGCAGCCGGTGTAGCGCCGATAATGAAAATCAAGCCAGAGAGACAGTGACCGACACCCAGAAATAACAAGGTAAAAATCCATGGAGGAATCTCTCAGAATACTGAAGTAATAATCTCTAACAGCATCTCTGAGAACGGCATTTATATAGTTACCATTCGGGATGTGAAAGACTTCCAGGCAAAGCAACATTACCCTCCGCCAGATAATATATTTTGAATTTAGTTTAGTTATATATGGAAATTTATTATGCTCATTATATGGAATGAAATGAACGTTTATTTGCCATTTTTTCCAGGTACATTGGAACGCTTGTTTTCACATATCCCATCTGGCTCTGCTATGAGAGACACACACACACAAACATGTACAATACCCGTCATAAGTTTGGACACACCTTCCCACAGAAAGGTTTATTTGTGCCGTTCTCTACATTTTAGGATAATTATGAAGACATCTAAACTATAAAATGATGTATATGGAATTATGCACTGACCAAAAAATTATTAAAGTGTGACATGACCCTTTGTAAGCAGCTTTGTGTGTCCAAACTTTTGACTGAGGGTCGGGCCATTTATCCGGCGGCACTAGAGCATTTTCGTGGGGCGGGGGGGGGGGGGGGGGGGGGGGGGGCAGGTTTAAGGGCCTTGCTTGAGGGCCCAGTGGAGATGTGATTATTCTGTGTTGAACCAGCAGCCTTCGGATTACAGACACAGGGGTCCATCCCACGGAGACGCAAAGGAAATGACAGTGAGCGATTACCAAATAAAAAGTGAGTTAAGAGAAGCATCGAGGGATAATTTGAAATAAGACTTGCCACTAGATTTGATATTACTGAATTTGTGTAGTACTAAACAAGATAGCCAAGCATACTGCTAGTCGGGAAAAAGTAAACCTGACATCCTGATGTAAATAATCTCTCCACAGCTGTTGCATTTATGTGCTGAATATTTAAGTAAATCTTCATTTCTTGCTGGAGTTGCAGTCAATGCCGCCTTTAAATTAAATATCGGCCTTCCAAGAGCAGGTACGTCCGTCCTTTTCACTGATGTCCTGTTACACATCCTTCCTAAACCCTGTCCACATGACACACACACACGAGGGTTGGGGGGGGGTGGGGGATTTCGAAGCACCAACAATGTGGGTTACGCAGAGGCATCGCATTTTATAGGATAGCTTCAACAGTCCTCAAAAAAAAATAAAACACAATACAAACAACTTAAAGCGTAACGGTAAATAGCTTTCTGATGTGCATTTAACCGTCAAGCTCTATTGACTTCAACGTATGTCCACCGCATTAAACCATTACAGAAAACAGCAGTGTTCAAACTCAGCTCATCCTTCATGTAACTAAGGCATTTTTGCTGCAGGGATCAAAGGCATATTTCAGGCACGTTCCTGCTCAGCAGAAATTAGTCACATCACTAGTTTTGCCTCATTTCCTGCCTACTTAGGGCATGTCAGTCATCCTGTCGCTTGTAGATACCCCCTCCCATTCCTTAAATGCAGGATATTAAAACAGTATAATATATATCAGTCACATTTTACAAGAAAACAGTACCGTAGAGAGAGCAAGGGAGTGGATGATCATTACAGTCTGTATTTTCTCAGGAAACCAAAAGGAATAGCAAAAACATTTTAAAGGTTGTTGCAGACTAACATTAATGAAGGAATGACCTTGCATTTTGTGAATAATACAAACAGTGGAAATGAAATATACCGTCTCATTCGATGCACTAAATTGTCTGATAAGTTCTCATCCGTTAGTTGTCTAGGTCATTGCACTTGAAGCCTGTTCACCCCTAATTTCCAGGTCACAAACTGCCTTCTCCCGTCATATATTACACAACCTAGCTCCCAAATCAAAGCTCACATCTAAAGCCCTTCACGCCTTTCATATATGTATATCGTTTGGTATTTTTTCCCCACGAGACCCTGGTGCAGTTCTGTTTTATATACATTGTTTTCAAGACCGGCAGTTACCACCTGTTTTTTTCAAACTTCTTTAAATAATAGCACAATCTCACCACCGGCAGCTGATGCCAGTTTTGATCAATCTCTGCTGATTTTTCCTATGCATTGATTTGCATTACTTTCCCCTCACACATCATGCAGCTTCGCAATAAGAATAACCTATAAAGAGAGCTTTAAAGGAGAAAATATTGCATAAATTTAGCAAAGGAAAAACCCTCAAATCCTTTATGCTAACTAGATGTTGTTTATCATATCCGGGCCTCGGAGATGGAGAGTTTAAATGAACTTCGGCTGAGAAGCTGGCGAGAGTAGCATTAGCCTTGCTAGCGCGATTCACATTCCCTGCACGCGCAGGTCCTGATACTGGTGACAATCGCCCAATGCCAACCTGGATACTGGGTTTCCATCTCCTATAACACCTCCCCCCCCACAAACACACACACACACACACACAAACAAAACAAAGAAAAATCATTTTCTGTGGTAACAATCATGGTTCGGTTTTTGGGCTTCAGCTTCAAATTTCCGGCACCTTAATTCCACATCTGGCAACCTGTTCTTTGCCTTGAAAAATCGACTCACTCCCTAGATTCTGAATCCTACATGCCACAGTGTGCGTAACCCGGCAATAGAGCTCACAAAATGCACAATAATCTACCTGTTTCTTTTCACTTCCCAAATCAAGAGACTTAATAATAATCATTAAAAAAAAACACAATCAGGTGACCAGGGCCATGTGCCAATAAATGAATACCAAGCCTTATTTGCTGAGGAGCCTGACCATCCTCAGAGATCACGTTAATCCTCCCCCTTCCCCTGAATACATCTCTGCTCCAACGAACAGAACTCTGGTGCCACCTGATGAAATCATTCGGACCAGGCGTACCATCTGGCGGCACAAAGGAACCGAGAATGCAGCCAACGTGCCGCCGACACTAATGACACAGCGCGCTGGAGCTGCATTGTGGGTCCCTTTACAGCCATGCAGTCACGGCGAACGCGCCTTAAAGGCTCACAGAGCCGCGTTCCTACCCTCCCGACTGGCTCCTATTTAACGGAGCCGCGGTTTGCAGGCTATATCGGTGGTGAAAACGCAACGTGACAAATCACAACCACGGACGCTTATTCTCCAGAAAC